ACATAAAAAATGAGAACCCTGGTTCCATATCCTCTTCTGAACTCGGTCTGGACCTCAGGCAGTTCCCTGTCAATGTACTGCTGCAACTGTTCTTAAGTGATCTTCAGAAAAATTTTACTTGCATGGGATATTAATAATCCCAAACCAAAATTCTATCATAAGGTCTCCAGCTTAATTTTTTACACCAAGTTCATATTTTCCAACTACTTTTCCTACCTCTTTTTACCCCTTCTTTTGCATTTCAATGGCCAATAATTATCAATGCAACTTGATCGCATGTTTGATCAATTTCTGACCGAAGATGTTGGTAATATTCTTCAGTTTCTTCATCACCAGTTTTAGTGCCTGGTGCATAGATTTGACTTGTAGTTGTATTGGTTGGGTTTCCTTGTATGAGGATAGATATAATCTATCCTATCACAGACAGTGTTGTACTTCAAGGTAAATATTGAAATGTCCTCTTTGGTGATGAATGCAATGCCATTTCGCTTGAGTCTGATGAAATACAGGGGAAGTGCTCCAGTAAGCTGACGGAGCACTGGAAGTACCATTCCAAGAAACTTGGACCCAATCAGAAGAGATCCAGACTTGTACTCACTTCAAAGAAAAGTAACTCAACAGAATGTAGAAATTATTGAACAAAATAAAATATCAAACGGAAGCAAATTTTGCTGAAGCTCATTCAACAACTGTTGCACTAGTACATTGCCAGGAAGCCGCCAGAAATTCAAGCTTTATTCAGAAGAGGGCATGAAATAAGGGATATCATTGCTGATGCCAGATGGATCGCGGCTAAAAGTAGAGAATACTTGTGTTTTATGACTTTGTCAAGGCATTTGATTGTGTAGGTCATATCAAACTATAAATAATCTTGAGAAGAATGGGAATTCCAGAACATTTAATTGTGCTCATTCAGAACCTGTCCACGGACCAAGAGGCAGTCTTTCTAAGACAACAAGGAGTACTGAGCAAATTAAAATCATGAAAGATGTACATCAGGGTTGTATCCTTTCACCATTCTTATTCAATCTGTATGCTGAGCAAATAAACTGAGAGGCTGGATTATATGAAGAAGAACTAGGCCCCCAAATTGAAGAAGTCTTATTAACAACTTGTAATATGCAGATAACACATGCTTACTTGCTAAGGGTGAGGAGAACTTAAAGCATTTTCTGGTGAAGATCAAGGATTGTAGTTTTCGATATGATTACAACACAATGTAAAGAAAATTAAAATCCCCATAATTGGACCAAGAGGCAACGTCATGATAAATGGAGAAAAAAAATAGAAGTTGTCAAGGACTTTGTTTTATTTGGCTCCACAATCAATGTTTATGGAATCAGTAGTCAAGAGAGCAAACAATGCGTTGTATTGGGTAAATTTACTGCACATGACCTCTTTAAAGTGTTGAAGAGCAGGGATGCTACTTTGAGGACTAAGGTGAGCCTGACCCAAGCCATGATATTTTCAATTGCCTCTTATGCATGTGAAAGTTGGACATTGAATAAGAAATACAGAAGAAGAATCAATGCATTTGAATTGTGTTGCTGGAAAAGAACATTAAAATTACCATGAACTGCCAAAAGAACAAACAAATCTGTCTTGGAAGCAGTACAGCCAGAATGCTCCTTAGAAGCAAGATGGCGAGACTTTGTTTCCCATACTTTGGACATGTTATTAGAAGAGACCAGTCCTTGGGAAAGGGCACCATGCTCCTTGGAAGAGGATGTCATGCTTGGTAAAGTGAAGACCCCAAGGAGATAGATCGACACAGTGGCTGCAGCAATGAGCTCAAAGACAACAGCAGTTGTGAGGATGGCCCAGGATTGGGCAGTGTTTGGTGGTATAGTACATAGGAACTGACTTGATAGCACCCAACGTAACAACAACAATATGTAGCACACATAAACTTGTACACATATCTTCCTCCAGAAGCCCCAATACACGTGCAAATATTTATGTATGCTTACTTATCTGCCTATATTTTGGGGGTATTATTCTAATTGTGTGTAAATTATGGCTTTTACTAAAACCATCCCTTATCCCTGTATAATTCATAGTGCCATTCTTTTACCTCACTGACTTTATTTGGTATTACCTTTCTCGTCCTCAAAACTAACAAGTGTCTGCTATCTAGACACTAATATCCCCTTCCCTCTCCCTCGCATTCCTGGTATCTACCAAAGGATGTTGCTTTCTGTATGTGTGTCTTTTATTTTCTTTTTATAATAGTGAGACCATGCAAATGCATGTCCTTTTGTGCTTATTTCCCTCAGTGTATGTCCTTCAGGTTCTCCACGTTATATTGTGAACACTCATCATTCATTATGACTGCATAGTATTCCACTGTGTACTCGTATCACCATTTATCCAGTTATCTCTTTAGGCAGCTGGGCTGTTTCCATCTTTTTGCCCTTGTGAATAGTGATGTAATGAACGTAAATGTGCTAGCTTACATATTTCTTCTCACCGATTTGAGGCTCCAGGGCTGGGTGAAGGTCTACGTAGAGAAAAGCAAATTATCTTACATATACAACTGCGCTCAATTCCACTGAGACCTTTTGAATGAGATCCTCCCTCTTTCATCAAACTTATGTGATATGCTCGGTGTAATGACTGTAAAAGAGGAAATCACATACTATACTACTTCTCAGATATTCTCTCTTCACTAACCAGACTCTTTCCATCACTACCCAGAATCCACAGTGCCATAATTTATAATAGTCATATTCTCTTGTAACATTAATTTTAGATTTTACCCTAAACTTAAGTGGATTCATGTTTCAGTGCCAGTCCTTTTGTAAATTTGCTGTGACATGTTCTCTAATGGTTTCTTAGCAGGTTCTGTTGCCATCATGTTTAGAAAGATTCATTTGTTGATTCATTAGTGACAGTGTAGCCGGACATGAAGCCCCTTCTCTGAGGACTTTGTGAGTAGGAAAACAATCCCAGCCCAGTCCAGATCAAGTCTATACGTTAAATACTATTCCACAGATTCCTCTTCAGACGCACACAGCCACCTGCAATGATGCAGAATGCAGGAGGATCACAGGCTGGTGGGTGCAGAGTCATGTGGATCCAATGGCAGAAGCTGCATCACAGGCCTGGCCTGCTCTGGAGTCTCAGTGTGTCTCCTCAACAGGAAGGTGAAGGTAGAGAGAGGGATACTGACAGCACCAGGAACCTCTTTATTAGAAGGCCATGCCCATAAGGAGGTACCATTAGACTGTGACCCGATTGACAGGCCAGATCCCACCCCTATCTTCAAGTTGACATGAAATTATGTAACTATCACAGCTTCATAGGACATTCAATGGCGGTGGTCATCTGAAGGCAGATCGCCAGGTTTGCTGAGACACCTCTGGGTGTGTAATCATTGCCCAGTTAAGAACCACAAAGAAAGAGCTCGCCATCCAAAGGGAATAGTCAGTGGGGGAATGAATGCCCAGAGAAGAGACCAGAGAAGAAAGAAAACCTGCCAGCTGAGTCCTGGGCCAGGGGTCTAAGCCCAGGCTTGGCCCTTTAAACATTGCTTCTCAGAACTTTGCCATCACCCTGCGAGAGGTGTTTCATTCCCAACCAAAAAGGAGGAAATTGGCATCTGAGAGAGACCAAGAGCTTCCTATAGACATTCAGCTAAAAGATGGAGAGAGGGCTTTCGGTACACTGTTGTCTGGCTAGACACCAGTTTCTTTGTCCTGTCTGTACCTCACCATCCTATAAAGCCCCCACCCCATCCTCAGATGACCACCCTACGAGGGGTACCCCTCCAAACCAGAATTTTTTTTCGAAGCTAAGTATTTAATTTTTTTTTACAAAACAGCCTTATACCTTCAAAGTACTCTCAATACATTTAATTTTTTTTTACAAAACAGCCTTATACCTTCAAGTACACTTAATACATTTGTCAAATCTGCGATTCCATTCTTGGAAACAGTTTTCAAACTCATCTATTTGGATGGCTGACAGCACCTCTCTTGTTTTTTCCTTCACCTCTTCTATGTCATCAAATCGCTGTCCTTTCATGTCCCTTTTCATTCACGGAAACAAAAAGAGGTCTCATGGAGGAATGTCGGGTGAGTAAGGTGTGTGGGCAAAAGATGCATGCTGTTTTTTGCCAAAAACTGGTGTACTGAGGTGGCTGTGTGAGTAGGCCCATTGTCGTGGCAGCAAAACCAGCCACAAATCAGGCCTTTTTTGTTGCACAGTTTCTGTGGCATTTTTCGCAAGCTGGAAACATTTCACAGCTGCGTGCTGTTCGCTTAAATCCTCCATCACAAAAAAACAAGGTTCAAGCGAAGCTGCTTTTATGAAAAAGTTCACTGTGACCAGAGAACCTTGCCAGGCAATGCCACTGGGTGCACTAACTCAGAGAGAGTTGCTCGGTGCTCACCCAGGGGGAAAGTGCAGACTACAAAAGCACTGCTCAGCGCAAGTCCGGCTGGTTGGTTTTGGTGCCCCTGGATGTCCGTGTTTGGGTTGGCTTTGCTGGGCCTTTGCTCAAGTCTTGGCTCTCAAGCCTGGCTGCACTTTAGGATGCATATTTGGGCACCGGGGTTGGGAGCTATTGGGATTACATTGGGATCAATGCCTCTAAATTCTCTTTCAGACCGTGGTCTTGGGGAGTCACTTAACTTCTCTGGGCTCAGCCTGATCCCTTAACTAAGATATGACTACACTCAGTGCAGACCATGGACCCTGAAGTGAGGTAGCCTTGGTTTGAATCTTGCCTTAAGATTCTCTGTGGGATTTCAGCTAATCACGTACTCTCTCTTCCCTCTTAGTTTTCTCATGTGCGACATGGAATAGTGTAAGTGTAAATGCCTTCTTGTAGAGAGGTCCTAAGAATTAAACCAGCTCCCAAATGTGAATTGTTTAAAACTTAGCAAGTGCTAAGGGAAGTCATTGTTACAGTGTTATTAATGTATGTAAAGGGCTTGGGAGACATGGGTGTACACAGAGAAGTGAGTCATTGACCCCTGTTCTTTGCTTCCTTCTAGGAGTTCGAGCCCCTGCCCCAGCCTGGTAGAGGCTGTGGAGCTGTGCGATCCAGAAGCGTGGTTTCCAGTCCTGTGGCCCATCCCTGGCTGCAGGGAGTGGAGGCTCCCACAAGGTAGCGGTGGCCTGCACCGGCCCCTTCCCCGCAGCGAGCAATGGGGCAAAAGCTCTCGGGGAGCCTCAAGTCAGTGGAGGTGCGCGAGCCCGCACTGCGGCCGGCCAAGAGGGAGCTGCTCGCGGCGGAGCCGGGGCAGCCGGCGAGGCTGGACCAGCTGCTGGACATGCCGGCAGTGGGGCTGGCTGTGCAGCTGCGGCATGCGTGGAATCCCGAGGACCGCTCGCTCAATGTCTTCGTCAAGGACGACGACCGGCTCACGTTCCACCGGCATCCCGTGGCCCAGAGCACGGACGGCATCCGTGGCAAAGTGGGCCACGCCCGCGGCTTGCACACCTGGCAGATCCACTGGCCGGCCCGGCAGCGCGGCACCCACGCTGTAGTTGGCGTGGCCACAGCCCGTGCACCCCTGCACTCGGTGGGCTACACAGCACTGGTGGGCAGTGACGCTGAGTCGTGGGGCTGGGACCTGGGCCGCAGCCGCCTCTACCATGACGGCAAGAACCAGCCTGGAGTGGCTTATCCCGCCTTCCTGGGGCCCGATGAGGCCTTCACCCTGCCGGACTCGCTGCTAGTCGTGCTGGACATGGATGAGGGCACCCTCAGCTTCGTCGTGGATGGCCAGTACCTAGGCGTGGCCTTCCGTGGCCTCAAGGGCAAGAAGCTGTACCCAGTGGTGAGTGCCGTGTGGGGCCACTGCGAAGTCACCATGCGCTACATCAACGGCCTTGACCGTAAGTGTGCCTGGTCATGGGACCTGGGGTCCTAGGGGCTGCGGGGGGCCCCCACGGAATCAGGGAGGGAGGCAGGCAGCAGGTGAGGCTTCGCCTTCCATCCTCAGGGACCAGGATACCGCGTGGGAATGTTGGCTCTACGGTTTTGGCTAGCTGCCCTGGTGGTATAGTGGTTAAGCAATTGACTGCGATCCACAAAGTTAACAGTTCGAAGCCACTGGCTGCTTCGGAAATGGGAGAAAGATGGAGTTATCTACTCTGGTAAATAGTTACGGTCTCGGAAACACACAGGGGCAATCCTACCCTGTCTGATAGGTCACTCTGAGTCAGCATGGCTCGATGTCAGGGAGTGTGAGTTTGCTAAATGATCTTGAGCAAATGGTTTTATTTCATGTTTATAAAAACACACGTACTACAATTTTTACCAATCTACTGATATCAACTGCATTAATCATTCTGCCAATAATTGTTGCCAAGTTTTCCATCACCATAAACAGATACTCACTGCTTCCTATAAAAGAACTCGTCTGACGCTGGTCATGGTGAGCCTAACACTGGTCTCTAAAGTTGTCTATTCTAGATAGATAGTTTATAGAAGTGAGAGCATGCCTATATAAGTATGCTCTTTTGTGATATACTTAGATGGATATATCTTTGGTGTCCTTTTGAGATGGACCTATATAGATATATCTTATATATGCCCTTTGTGATATACATACATGGATATGTTATGTGCTTTACCTACCAGTACATGTAATATACCTATAGGTACTCTGGTGGAGTCGTATTTTCAAGATGGGCTGCTAATTGCACTTCAAAACTACCAACCACTTTCTACTCTGGTAAAGAGTTCCAGTCTCAGAAACCCACAGCGGAAGCTCTCCTCTGTCCTATAGGGTCACTGTGAGTCAGCGTTGACTTGGTGGCAGCTATGTATACCTATACATAGCTATATATCCTTTTAGGATCGACTTGCTTCACACAGCATAATGTTGTCAAGGTCGGGGCGTGGCTGAGGAATAATCCTGCATGTATTCCCCACATTGTGTTTATCCATTCATCTGTTTCCACCTTTGAGAATGGTGAATAGTGCTGCTCTGACCCCTGGGCACGCACACAGTGTGGACCTGCTTTCCAGGTCCTTGCAGTGAAAGCACTGGGTCACAGGACAGTTCTGTTTAATGTTTTAAGGTACTGCTTAGCTCTTCTACAATGGCTACCCCATTTTGTCTTCCAACTAGCAGTGGACAAGTGTTCCGATTCCTCTATAGCTTCATCAGCAGTTGTTGTTGTCTAGCTTATTATTATTGTTATTATTAAGCCTACCCATTGTAGTGGGATGGAAATGACAACCCCCTGTGTTTGGTTTGGCTTCCTGGTCACTGTGAGTTGGAATTGGCTCGACAGCAACTAGCAGCAACAGTGGTTACTGATGTTGAACATCCCTTGAGCAAATGCCTCAACCACTCCGTCTCAGTTTTCCCACCTGCAAAATGACATGGTGACAGCAACCTAGTCAGGGTTGTGTTCAGGTCTGAATAGGACAATACATGCAAAAGTGCTTAGAAGAGCCTCTGACATCTAGTATGGCTCTTGAGTGCTGGTTCTAATGATGAAGCTTTCTGTCTATTGTAGGGTTGTGTAAAATGTTGTCTTCTGTGTGCCCAATCCCAAGCTAGTCACAGAGGGAAGAAAGGGACAAGTAGCAGGCATAGTCCCGGGACTTGAATGCCAAGCACTCAAGGTACTAAGTAGTAAGAATGATAATAACAACTCTGCTTTATGGACCACCAACTGCATGCAAAGGCTGACTGCTCACAGTCCAGCTTTCACAGGGGAACTGATGACCAGGGCTCTTCTGCCTGTTAATGAGGCTGCTGCATCTTACCTGTCTGCGTACTGCTTCCTGAGATGAGAGCCATAGAATTGGGTTGTAGCACCTTCTGATTTTCCCCCCCAAGAGAACCAGACATTCAGCTATTGTATGAGCTAACATAATTTTGAAGGTTGGTAGCATGTGGCCAAACCCTTATAGGCTACACATAAGCCTCCGGGCTGTTGGTTTTGACCCCTGACAACTGAGTCCTCCTCCCATATAATCTGTCCAACCACCTACAAACAGCTTAAGACACATAGTGATCGTAGCGGTTACTGGTGTTAGGGAGTTACTCGGGAGGCAGAGTGACCCTTGCAGCCCCTTGTCCCCGGAGGAGACCCCGCTGATCAGGGTCCGGAGCTCCCCACTCATGGGCCCTCATGCACCCTCTTGTCAGCTGACCGGTACCAAGCAAAATGGATTTCCTGCCACACCCCTACTGGAGGTCATTGAGGCTGTGATTACAGCTGGATGGCAGTTTATTCATTTTAAGTGACGGATATATATAATTGCCAGCCAACAGGATGGCTTCAGGATCCCTCTTTCAGAGATAAGGAAACTGAAGGGCTGAGCTGGAAAGAGCTGGAACCGGAGCTGAACCAAGTCTGCTAGCCTCTGAGGTCCATACTGCCCCCACCCCCACCCCCACACACCCTTTGTTGAAGATTGAGACTAACACTTGGGAGGTTGGGGGGCGGGGGAAATCAACAATAAGATTTTACTCAAGTCCAGTTTACCTTTGGTCAAGGGCAGGGGGTGATGGAAGGTTTTTAAGGATGAAAAGGGGCTGGTGCGTCCTGCTCATTGGTATAATTGGAGACCTTCTTGCTCATAGTTTATTTTCATACCTGTTGGACCAAAGGCCTGTTGAATGGCGAAGTGTTGTTCTGTTTACCTGCTTAACGGGCTGTCTTTAGGAACAGGTGAGTGTGTGCTGAGAGTTGCTAGTTTAGTCATCACTGTTGCTTGTGGAAAGATGTCTGAAATCCTCAGAGACATGGTGACTAGGCAAGCCCCAGTCCTGAAAAAAACAAACAACAACCCTTTATTTAACACGAATGGAAATTTTATTTACTAAATTTTATTTAGTCCAATGGAAATGATCATTGGACTAGAAGGATGGCCTTTTGGGATCGAGGCTCTGGGGTTTCATGTGCTTAATTTCTAACTGCGTCCCCGGAGGTTTTATGTCTTTGAGGAGTCAACCCAACTTCCTAAGACTCACTTTACTCATCATCGAATGGGGCAGCATCACATCCTCTTCATGGCTGCTGTGAGGGCTTGAGTGGTGACACCAGTAAAGTGGTAGGACATCATGCTTGGCAAAGTGGAGGGGCAATGAAAAGAGGAGGTCCTCAGTGAGAGGAATTGTTAGATCTCTCTGGAGCTAGATATACCTCGGTCCTTGGATCCGCACGAGAAAGAATTCACACCGAAGCCTGGCTCATGATCCAAGTGAGTTTTATGAGCGTTAGAAGAAATTTCAGGTTTACACGGCACCCCGTGGGGCTCCTCCCGGACATGCGGCTTGGCTGGAAGCTGCTCGGTGGCACGCAAGAGTGTCCCAAGGTCCCTCCAAAGCTCTCCCAGAGCTTTGCCAAAGTTCCCAGAGTTCTCTCGCTAAAGTTCTCTCTCCGGACTCCAGGCTTCTGCCTTTTCAAGGATTCCACGGGGAGGCGTGGTGGACGACCCCCTGATCAACCCCATTGGCTGAATTGAACTCACCTGGTCTAGGTGGGCCAATTCAGGTTCACACCCACCCCTGCCTACCAGCGGGAACCCTGAGCCTCTGGGCATGTGCAGTGCACCACTCCTTTGTTCCCCTAGCTTGGCCCTCTGGGCACGCATTAAGGGACATTCCCAGCCCTTTGCTAACCTACCTAACAGAATTAACCCCATGGCTGCAGTCATGGGCTGAAGCACAGGGACAATTGGGAGGGCGGTGCAGCATTGGGCAGTGTTTCCTTCTGTTGTGCACAGGGTCGCTGGGGGTAGGAAAGGCTTCCCATTGCTACCCAGTGGGAATGACCAGAGCCAACAGTTGGGTCCTAAGCTAGGCTTCATCTTGTGCATTGATTTATTCTCCTGGGTAATTCTTGCTCCCTGGTTCTCAGGGACAAAGCTGAGATGCCAACGAGTCCCCTTGGATGGTGCAAAGGGAATCTGCCCAAGCATGGCCTCCTTGGCTGACTGCTTAGAGAGATTGGGTGGAGAGTGGTAGCCATGCCCAAGAGTGTCTGTGCTCATGAGCCCTCCAGGTGCCTGGAAGAATGACTAGGCAATGAGACTGTGGGGTGAAGGGGAGAGAGTCCCCCACAAATCATCACAGGTTTGGTAGGCGCAATCGTACAGCGATAATAAGTAAAGATTACAGTAAAGTCATAGAGAGCATGAGAGCTAGAAGGGAGTCAAGTAATGGAGTCAGACACAATTCATAGTAGCATTGCTCACCTCAGCCCCGCTTGGTGGTCCACATGGAGGGAGCCCCGCCAGGAGAGCAGGAGAGAGCCCCCAGGAGCGAGGACTGGGGAGAGCTTTTTCTTTATTGCTAACCAAGCATTATATCTCATTAGGGGGACATGATTACAGGTAACCACATGTCACAGGAAGGGGCAGTACAATAGGTATACACATTGTAGGAAGGGGATCTATGATAGGCATAAGCATAACAGGAAGAGGATGAGCTAGGGGTGTGCCCATAGGAATGGGAAGGTCTAGGGGTATACATGTGACAAGATGGACGGACCCTAGATTCATGATGGCAGCCTAATCTTGGTCATCCTTGGGCGAGTTTGACCTCTCTGGTGTCTCCTACAAGGAAACAGACAAACAACTACTATCCTTATCAGAAGGAAGTGGGCCCTACTTGTTGTGGGATAAACAGTGGTGTCTGCTTGCTCTAGACGGCTGATAGCTCTTAGGGAGAATGACCCCTAATCCACTCCTGATGACCTCCAAGTGTATAGTCATTTGCAAGCAGCTAAGTCTGGCATATATTTGGGGGAGACAGCCTGAGAGAAATCCTTCTGTTTCCCATATGAGACTTGGTGCATTCTGTCCTCTTTCCCATTGTTGATAACTTTCCAGGTTGACTGAAACAGAGCTGGCCACTGGGAGGCAAGGG